CGGCGTAGTATGTTCCTTGGCCTTCCTCTTTTCCTTTTGCCTTGAGGGTTCCATGTGAGAGCTTGTCTCGTGACACAGTTAGGTGCTTTCCGCAATGTGTGTCCTATCCACTTCCACCGCTTCTTCCTGACTTCCTCCTCCACTGGAATCTGGTTTGTTCTCTCTCACAGTACATTATTGTTGCTGATGGTGTCTGGCCAACGAATCCGAAGTATTTTGCGTAGACAACTGTTGATAAACACTTGTATCTTCTGGATGATGGCTTTGGTAGTTCTCCGTGTTTCCGCTCCGTACAGTAGAACTGTCTCGACATTTGTATTGAAAATCCTGATTTTGGTTTTGGTTGAAAGTTGTTTGGAGTTCCAGATATTTTTCAACTGTAGAAATTCAGCCCTAGCTTTGCCAATCCGCGCACTCACATCTGCATCCCATCCACCTTTCTCGTCGATGATGCTGCCCAGATATGTAAAGTTGTTAACGTCCTCGAAAGCATCTCCATCAAGAGTGATTTGGTTGGTGCATGTTGTGTTGTATCGGAGAATTTCGCTTTTTCCTTTATGTATGTTGAGACCTACTGCTGCAGAGGCTGCTGCTACACTGGTCGTCTTCTCTTGCGTTTGTTGTTGAGTGTGCGATAAAAGAGCCAGGTCATCTGCGAAGTCCAGATCGTCCGTCTCCGTAAGTAAGATCATTTAAATAGCGGAGCTAACAGTTTATAAACTTCCCATAAAAAAGCCGTGTGTGACCAGCCTCAAGTAGTTGTCCGTTGGGCTCTGCCGTCACGCTTCCAGGTCTTTAAGACCAACGCTAACCTAACAGCACACGTTTATGATTAAATTTTCATAGTTTGATTTCAGTTGTCGAGAATTTCTTTCTGATCTTGTTACTTTCATTTATATCAATATGAAAGGATTCCTATATTGGGAATCATTAGAACAACACTAATATAAGCGAACAATATCATTGTTGTTATATCAATCAGATTGTCATTAGGTCTTCTTGCTGTTTAATATTTATGTGAAAATGTTCAATCAAATCAAGGCAACGTATTATGAGTCAGTCAGTCAGTCAGTAAGATGCAACGTAGAACTTCGTACGTAAGTACATCAGTTCATGTCGCCATACCACATCAGCACAGAGATGTAATTGTCGATTCAAATCCAATAGTAGAAGAGATAGTAAAGGTATTAGAAGTAATCGGAGAGGTTATGATTAGAACATATTATTCAAGAAGTATGATTCAGTGAGATAAGTTTAGAAAGTCAAAACTAGAAGGGTTGAAGAATCCAGAAGATTAGAATTTGAGAGAACACAAAGAATAAATGCACTGGCGCCATTGCAAACGGTTTTGAGCCATGTCATTGAAGGTCTCTAACCATTGATTATTGTCATCTCGCGGACCCCAACCAAGTAGTCGACAATTACCGACATTGCTAAGTCCACTCGTCAATGACTTCATGGATTTCTGCCATGTTTTGGCCGCCCTTAGCTTTTTTCTAACCTACTCGTACACTAAAAAACAATGCTCGACGAGGCAGTCGGTGGTTAGGCATACGCAACACGTGTCCAAACCACCTCAACTGATGAAGTTTCAATACTTCATCTATTGGTCTGCCATCCTTACCTAGTACTCGTTTACTAACGGACAGCATTGCTTACTCGGTTGTCCCACGATATTCAAGCAATGCTTCGAAGACACCTATGATCGAAAACCAGTAACCTACGAATATCTTCTACTCTCACTGGCTATGTTTCACAGCCATAAAGTAAGACGGAGCGAACTACTGCGCAGTACACTCGTCCTTTAGTCATCAAACGGATATCTCGCCTACGCCATAAGTGACGCAGGTCGGTAAAAGCCAATCGAGCCTTCTGCATCCGTGTTGAGATTTCGTCAGTCACCAGGCCATCGGCACTGATGAGGCTTCCCATATAAGTGAAGCGGTCTACACGCTCGACTACTCTGAATGATATGGCTCAGAATCGTTTGCAGTAATGCAGATTGTCTTCTGTCAATTTCTAATCTTCTGAATCACTCATCACCTGTATTTTTCTCTTTTTAAATTTATTTCACTGTGGTATGTACTTATACTGACAAGTGGACTGAGTCATGTTGGTAGATGTAGGTTATCTGGTTGGGTTGCGCGAGAAGAAAGTAACCAATGGTTAGAGACCTTGAACGACATGGCTCAGAATCGTTTGCAATGGCACAGGTGCATCCACTCTTTATGTTCTCTCAAAATCTAACCTTCTGAATTCCTCATAATCTCTATCTTTCTCCTTCTAAATTTATCTCACTGAATTATACTTTTCAAATCATATCTTCGCTCCCTAATCTTCTCCATTACTGCTAATACTTCTATTATTGCTATCACTCTTGGATTTGAACTGACAGTTGAGTCTCTGTGCTGACATGTTATGGCAACCTAAACTGATGTACTTATGTGCAAAGTTCTGCGTTGTATCTGGCTGGCTTGATATGTACTTCTCGAATCATATTGTCGCACCCTCTATTACTATTCGATTTGAATTGACAAATTCCATCTCCTTGCACTTATGCAGTATGACAACTTGAACTGATGTAAGTACGTACGAATGTACATACGAAGTTCTACGTGGTATTTGACTGACTGATTGATTATAGTTTATAAATCAGTGAAATAATTATACTGGAAAGAACATTTTTCTTGATAGTTAGTTATGTACTTGAAAAAAACACATTGTTAATCAGTACAAATCAATAAAGTTTCATAAGTTAAACTAAGATTACTAATCAAGTTAGTTTAAACAAATTAAAGGTCATCATCATAATAATATAATGAATTGGAAGAAAGAGTTCAATAAAATTTCTTATCTTAATAAAGAAATATTTTTTGTGTCACTGAAATCAAAACTATTAACAATCATTTCCTTTTTGAAATATACAAATCAAGTTTAAATGACGCCTTGTGACATTGACGTTAGCAAAATTTGCAAAAAAGTAAACTGAACCTTCAAATTATCGACCTGATGGATGCTCTGTGTTGAATAAATGTCTGATGTTCGCGCGCATTGCTCGTATATCATGGGACAACCGAGTAAGCAATGCTATTGTTAGGAAACGGGTTCTGGGTAAGGATGGCAAATCAATAGATGAAGTAGTGAAACTTCATCAGTTGAGGTGGTTGGGACATGTGTCACGTGTGGCTAACCACCAACTGCCGCGACGAGTTATGTTTTGTGGTGTAGGAGTAGGTTGGAAGAAAGCTAGGGGTGGCCAAACCAAAACATGTCTGAAATTCACAAAGTCACTGATAAGTGGACTGAGTCATGTTGGTAGATGTAGGCTACCTGGTTGGGGTCCGCGAGACGGTAGTAACCGTTGGTTAAAAGACATTGCTCAAAATCGTTTGTAATGTCGCAGGTGCATTCATTGTTTGTGTTCTCCTAAATTCCAATTTGAACTCCTCATCACCTTTATCTTTTTCTTCATAAGTTTACTTCGCTCGATTATACTTCTCGAATCATATCTTTGAACCCCTAATCTTTTTGATAACCACTAATACTTGTACTATGGAATTTGAATGGACAATTCAATCTCTCAGTGTGCTATTGTGGTATGGCAACTTGAATTAATGTACATACGTACTAAGTTCTGTATTGTAGCTAACTGACTGACTGACTGCCTTCAAAATGCATAATTTCATAACTATACAAGTTACACTAAAACTTTTATAAAATATTCATTTTCTTAAATCAATTTGTCAAGTTGAATACAACATACAAAATTTTATTTCTCCCTTTTTCTCTTAAAAAGATAGAATTATTTTGCAGAAAAATAAAGTTGAATTATCACCATCATCATCATCATCCTTATCTACCAACATGATTGAATCTGTTGAAAATCAAATGCGTCATTTAATACAAGCTGATTGTATGCGTATTGTGGAAATGAAAAAATCGAATCATTTACTACTTCCTGATCAACAACAGCAACAACAACAACAGCATTCCAGTGAAGAATATGAATTGGAAGGTGCAATGATGCATAATCATACAGAATTGATGCCTAAAACACGTTTCAATCCGATTGGTGTTGATGCCTCTAATTCCATTGAAATCGGTGGCGGTGACGGTGTCGGTGTCGATGTGGATGATGCCGAAGATGAATCGGATAGTGATCATTTAGAGGATATTGAAAATATTTGTGGATATGGAAAAAAGTAAATACACTTGTTGTTCGCTTTTTTTGCGTTTCTGTTTGTTTGGTTCACTGATTTTGCCAATCAGTTGTAAATTTGTTGGAAGTAATAATGTTTCTTGTGTTATATATATATATATATATATATATATATATATATATATTGGATAACTCTATGTTAGATTCATCATGTACCGTTCCTACCGATCTGTTAGGTTAATGCGGCTGTATAGCGCTGGGACGGGGGCCCGCTTTCGCTGCTGTTATGTGGACTTCCTCTCATCTCAGCGGCCGCTACGGAGTTCTCTGATGCGCACGACTGCTAGTTTTTATCCCCATCTACAGTAGAGCTAGCGTTCTCTTTGTAATCACTCAGGACCGGGAAGCGAACCAGTTACTGACTTGGAAACGCGCGTCGCATGCTAGCTTGATGGGATCTAGGAAAGTTAAAAGGGGAGGGTGAGGTTTAGTAAAAGTGTTGTGCGTTCTGCGTCAGCTGCGCATGGGTGTGTGCGTTCTACTGAATACAAACTGCAGCTGGAGCATAACCCGCAGGAAGAATGGTGGATCTGTCGCCTTAAAAACGCGTCCGTTACCATAGGAACGGAAGCGGCTCTGTGGGCCTATAGCGCTTCCGGGTTTCTAATGGTGGTCTAGCATTGATTGATTCATGGTTTCAAATATATATATATATATATATATATATATATATATATATATAACACAAGAAACATTATTACTTCCAACAAATTTACAACTGATTGGCAAAATCAGTGAACCAAACAAACAGAAACGCAAAAAAAGCGAACAACAAGTGTATTTACTTTTTTCCATATCCACAAATATTTTCAATATCCTCTAAATGATCACTATCCGATTCATCTTCGGCATCATCCACATCGACACCGACACCGTCACCGCCACCGATTTCAATGGAATTAGAGGCATCAACACCAATCGGATTGAAACGTGTTTTAGGCATCAATTCTGTATGATTATGCATCATTGCACCTTCCAATTCATATTCTTCACTGGAATGCTGTTGTTGTTGTTGCTGTTGTTGATCAGGAAGTAGTAAATGATTCGATTTTTTCATTTCCACAATACGCATACAATCAGCTTGTATTAAATGACGCATTTGATTTTCAACAGATTCAATCATGTTGGTAGATAAGGATGATGATGATGATGGTGATAATTCAACTTTATTTTTCTGCAAAATAATTCTATCTTTTTAAGAGAAAAAGGGAGAAATAAAATTTTGTATGTTGTATTCAACTTGACAAATTGATTTAAGAAAATGAATATTTTATAAAAGTTTTAGTGTAACTTGTATAGTTATGAAATTATGCATTTTGAAGGCAGTCAGTCAGTCAGTTAGCTACAATACAGAACTTAGTACGTATGTACATTAATTCAAGTTGCCATACCACAATAGCACACTGAGAGATTGAATTGTCCATTCAAATTCCATAGTACAAGTATTAGTGGTTATCAAAAAGATTAGGGGTTCAAAGATATGATTCGAGAAGTATAATCGAGCGAAGTAAACTTATGAAGAAAAAGATAAAGGTGATGAGGAGTTCAAATTGGAATTTAGGAGAACACAAACAATGAATGCACCTGCGACATTACAAACGATTTTGAGCAATGTCTTTAACCATCGGTTACTACCGTCTCGCGGACCCCAACCAGGTAGCCTACATCTACCAACATGACTCAGTCCACTTGTCAGTCACTTCATGAATTTCTTCCATGCTTTGGTTTGGCCGCCCCTAACTTCCTTCCAACCTACTCCTACACCACAAAACATATCTCGTCGAGGCAGTTGGTGGTTAGCCAAACATAACACATGTCCCAACCACCTCAACTGATGAAGTTTCACTACTTCATCTATTGATTTGCCATCCTTACCTAGTACTCGTTTCCTAACGACAGCATTGCTTCCTCGGTTGTCCCACGATATACGAGCAATGCGCGCGAACATCAGACATTTATTCAACACAGAGCATCCATCAGGTCGATAATTTGAAGGTTCAGTTTACTTTTTTGCAAATGTTGTTAAAGTCAATGCCACCAAGCGTCATTTAAACTTGATTTGTATATTTCAAAAAGGAAATGATTGTTAATAGTTTTGATTTCAGTGACACAAAAAATATTTCTTTATTAAGATAAGAAATTTTATTGAACTCTTTCTTCCAATTCATTATATTATTATTATTATTATGACCTTTTATTTATTTAAACTATCTTGGTTAGTAATCTTAGTTTAACTTATGAAACTTTATAGATTTGTACTGATTAACAATGTGTTTTTTTCAAGTACATAACTAACTATCAAGAAAAATGTTCTTTCCAGCATAATTATTTCAATGATTTATAAACTATAATCAATCAGTCAGTCAACTACCACGTAGACCTTCGTATGTACATTCGTACGTACTTATTACATCAGTTCAAGTTGTCATACTGCATAAGTGCAAGGAGATGGAATTTGTCAATTCAAATCGAATAGTAATAGAGGTTGTAAAAATAAGGGAGAATAGGGTGCGACAATATGATTCGAGAAGTACATATCAAGCCAGCCAGATACAACGCAGAACTTTGCACATAAGTACATCAGTTTAGGTTGCCATAACATGTCAGCACAGAGACTCAACTGTCAGTTCAAATCCAAGAGTGATAGCAATAATAGAAGTATTAGCAGTAATCGAGAAGATTAGGGAGCGAAGATATGATTCGAAAAGTATAATTCAGTGAGATAAATTTAGAAGGAGAAAGATAGAGATTATGAGGAATTCAGAAGGTTAGATTTTGAGAGAACATAAAGAGTGGATGCACCTGTGCCATTGCAAACGATTCTGAGCCATGTCGTTCAAGGTCTCTAACCATTGGTTACTTTCTTCTCGCGCATCCCAACCAGATAACCTACATCTACCAACATGACTCAGTCCACTTGTCAGTATAAGTACATACCACAGTGAAATAAATTTAAAAAGAGAAAAATACAGGTGATGAGTAATTCAGAAGATTAGAAATTGACAGAAGACAATCTGCATTACTGCAAACGATTCTGAGCCATATGATTCAGAGTAGTCGAGCGTGTAGACCGCTTCACTTATATGGGAAGCCTCATCAGTGCCGATGGCCTGGTGACTGACGAAATCTCAACACGGATGCAGAAGGCTCGATTGGCTTTTACCGACCTGCGTCACTTATAGCGTAGGCGAGATATCCGTTTGATGACTAAAGGACGAGTGTACTGCGCAGTAGTTCGCTCCGTCCTACTTTATGGCTGTGAAACAAAGCCAGTGAGAGTAGAAGATATTCGTAGGTTAGTGTTTTTCGATCATAGGTGTCTTCGAAGCATTGCTCGTATATCCTGGGACAACCGAGTAAGCAATGCTGTCCGTTAGTAAACGAGTACTAGGTAAGGATGGCAGACCAATAGATGAAGTATTGAAACTTCATCAGTTGAGGTGGTTTGGACACGTGTTGCGTATGCCTAACCACCGACTGCCTCGTCGAGCATTGTTTTTTAGTGTACGAGTAGGTTAGAAAAAAGCTAAGGGCGGCCAAAACATGGCAGAAATCCATGAAGTCATTGACGAGTGGACTTAGCAATGTCGGTAATTGTCGACTACTTGGTTGGGGTCCGCGAGATGACAATAATCAATGGTTAGAGACCTTCAATGACATGGCTCAAAACCGTTTGCAATGGCGCCAGTGCATTTATTCTTTGTGTTCTCTCAAATTCTAATCTTCTGGATTCTTCAACCCTTCTAGTTTTGACTTTCTAAACTTATCTCACTGAATCATACTTCTTGAATAATATGTTCTAATCATAACCTCTCCGATTACTTCTAATACCTTTACTATCTCTTCTACTATTGGATTTGAATCGACAATTACATCTCTGTGCTGATGTGGTATGGCGACATGAACTGATGTACTTACGTACGAAGTTCTACGTTGCATCTGACTGACTGACTAACTCATAATACGTTGCCTTGATTTGGTTTAACATTTTCACATAAATATTAAACAGTAAAAAACCTAATGACAATCTGATTGATATAACAACAGTGATATTGCTAGCTTATATGAGTGTTGTTCTAATTATTCCCAATATAGGAATCCTTTCATATTGATATAAATGAACGTAACAAGATCAGAAAGAAATTCTCGACAAATGAAATCAAACTATGAAAATTTAATCATAAACGTGTGCTGTTAGGTTAGCGTTGGTCTTAAAGACCTGGAAGCGTGACGGCAGAGCCCAACGGACAACTACTTGAGGCTGGTCACACACGGCTTTTTTATGGGAAGTTTATAAACTGTTAGCTCCGCTATTTAAATGATCTTACTTACGGAGACGGACGATCTGGACTTCGCAGATGACCTGGCTCTTTTATCGCACACTCAACAACAAATGCAAGAGAAGACGACCAGTGTAGCAGCAGCCTCTGCAGCAGTAGGTCTCAACATACATAAAGGAAAAAAGCGAAATTCTCCGATGCAACACAACATGCACCAACCAAATCACTCTTGATGGAGATGCTTTCGAGGACGTTAACAACTTTACATATCTGGGCAGCATCATCGACGAGAAAGGTGGATCGGATGCAGATGTGAGTGCGCGGATTGGCAAAGCTAGGGCTGAATTTCTACAGTTGAAAAATATCTGGAACTCCAAACAACTTTCAACCAAAACCGAAATCAGGATTTTCAATAAAAATTTCAAGACAGTTCTACTGTACGGAGCGGAAACACGGAGAACTACCAAAGCCATCATCCAGAAGATACAAGTGTTTATCAACAGTTGTCTACGCAAAATACTTCGGATTCGTTGGCCAGACACCATCAGCAACAATAATGTACTGTGGGAGAGAACAAACCAGATTCCAGTGGAGGAGGAAGTCAGGAAGAAGCGGTGGAAGTGGATAGGACACACATTGCGGAAAGCACCTAACTGTGTCACGAGACAAGCTCTCACATGGAACCCTCAAGGCAAAAGGAAAAGAGGAAGGCCAAGGAACATACTACGCCGAGAAATAGAGAAAGATATGAGAGGAATGAACAAACATTGGACAGAACTGGAGAGGGAAGCCCAGGACAGAGTTGTTTGGAGAAAACTGGTGGGCGGCCTATGCTCCATTGGGGGTAACAGGCGTAAGTAAGTAACTTACGGAGACGGAAATCTACGGGGTAAGATGAGGTGTGATAATTGTATGGGTTGACCTATTCTAAACCCTTACATCAGTTGTGAGAAAGTAGCATCGCTGCTGGTTGCCCAAGGGAAACACCCTACTGCTATCACACCCCTTTACACTGAGACTTCACCTTCATACAGGGAGTTGCAGCTTTTAGTCTTACCGTTCTCCAATCAACCTGTCTGACATGGAGCAATACTTAAAGGAACATATGGTCTGGCCAATATTGCTCGGTTGGGTTATCACGATAGGCAAGACCGAAAAATACGTCAATGTAGCAGCTACGGTCAAATGAATAAACAACACATAGTTTGAAAAATTTGAAATAAGTCATAGCGAAAAAAAGGATAAAAGTAGCCCATGTCTATCAATTTCATATGGTATTTATGAACTTTAATTCAATAACAACAACAACAAAACAGAATACACATCAACTTACCATATTCTGATATAATTTTAGTAGCAGCATTTTTCGATTGTTCAGAAGGCTGTAAAGAAATAAAAAAACAGAAAATCAATATTCATACAAATAATTTAAAGGCCATGTCATTCCAAGTTTCTAACCATCGGTGGCTTTATGGATTTGTGCCATTTAGAAACTTTCCATGCTTATAACCTGTAAAATTCAATAGCGATTGAATGAAAATGATGCAAAATATGGTTACTCTCCTATTCTAGTCAAATACGATAACAAAACAAAAGCACATCGTTCATATTAAATATTACTGGGATTATCATATGATTAGACATAACCTTATTCAGCGATGCATAAACCATCTACTATAAACGCACATTAACATAAGAATGTTCATCTGAAACACATACTAATAATAATTGTATCCAAAAGAACTTTGTAACTTACAAGGTATGCTGACAATAATTCAGCTATCTCAGAATGTGATTCTGACGAACCATGTGAAACATTTATTATACCACATATGTATTCACCAACAACATCAGCATCAATATCCTCTGATAAATCTTTGAGGAAATTAGCAACCCAATCAATTGGTAATTCATTTGAAGACATGCAGCATACGGATTAGGTATGATAGTCCTAAATACTAATATTCAAAAGTTAGAAGTTCGAAGGACAGAATATTAGTCTACAAAAGGAAATCGACAATAACACAGAAATAATGCTTGACAGATCTCATAAAGTATGGTTATATATCAAGATAGTAAATTTATTTCCAATGCCTGGCCTCCTAGTTAAGAAATTACAGGATAATTAACTACTTGGTTTGTAGTATTTATTCAGATGAAAGCAACAAATAGCTGACAGCTATAAAATGCATAAGATAGAATAACTGACAAAAGCTAAGCCTGTTGAACATAAGGATGCATGTGGTCAGTTCGTTCTATACAGAAGCCTCAATTACTGTCTCTATTTTAAAAAGATGTAAAACAAAATCCAAAATATGAAAATGTATTCCAGAATAATTATTAACTGATAGTATAAAAAAAATAACAAAATACTATGAACCTACGATATAGCAGGCAGTAAACAAATGCATTTAGTGACAGAAAATTCGATCACCAGGAAGATACCTTTCTAATAATAAACACAAATATTGCTTGACTTAATCACTGAAAGTCCGTTTTAATAAGCAAATAATATCATACAAATTTAGAATGAGACATATAACACTAAGAGTCTGAAAGACCAAATTCACACCTACCTATGATTGGCTGAGAGAGGGCGGGTTTCCCACGTTTAAATCAGCTCAGCAGATAAACGGAAAAAGCGCCTTTCTTTTCAAACTTCAACAAGATGTACGCAAGACAACTGGAATAATTAATTCTTTTAAGCTGATCGAAACTATTTCCAGTGTATTCAGACTTAATAAACATATCTTTTTCATTACTTTCGATCCCTTTTCTTTCGACTCAGTAGGTGAGTGCTGAATTATAGTCAGAGTAGGGTAACTCAAGGTATTTGATATTAGAAATTCGACGAAGTTTGCATTCTGCTCATCTAATTCTATAAATGATCAACCAATAACCTTTGAGAAGCTAGGAAATCATTTGTTCTCCCACGAAGAAGTATATCGTACGAAACGCTATAAATCAATAGAGCAAAAAGCTGTAAAGCTGCGATTCATAGTCGGTATTATATAGTGTGAACAATACATGAAAAAAATTAACGCTATTGAAATTTTTGGAACTTTCAGCGTTAAAACGTTTTTCTCTTTTACTAATTAGGCCGAAATCGTTGATGTAAAGCTACACTCTATTGCGGTGCATTACAGTAATCACAATGCTTGACTGAAAACTTCCAGCAGGTACCGCATGTTAAAACTCGGAAAGTTAGAGTCAATGAGGAATTTTTATGGTGACCAATGTAAAGATAATTCGGGTAGAATATGTGAGAGGCTGGAGGTAATTCTAAAGAAATGAACACGGATAGATCTGTCCATTCTAATGGTGAATCTGAATATCAGAATCAGGATTACATCGAGGGAAAGAAAGGAACTACAGTGAAGAGATGTCTACAGACGTACGTCCCCGGACAACAAGAACATAGGGAGCAGGGATTTATTCAACAACATTTGTTTCATCGAAGGCATAAGAACAAAGATAGTAGCCGGAATTGCGTTACATGACCATCTAGCAATACCCAGCTGAAACCAGAGATAAGAAATTACTGAACAATCGGATACATTACACCACAAAAGTCAAAAACATTTGGAAAAGAGAAATGATAGACAAGGCAAAGGCTAACCAGTAAAGGAGAACATTGTATTTGATGTACAGAAATATGCATAAATGGAAACTGCAACAATAAAAGGTGCAACAAGAGAAAATTTCGCAGAACCCTCTGACATATTTCGGGAGCGCATACAGAGTGACTAGTCAGGGACAAAAAACGTGAACTAATCACTGAAGAGAAGAGTAGAAGATGATCAGAGTAACTTTAATCATTCCCGAAAAAATAGCACCATTGAACCATCTGGCTATCATAGGAACAAACATTAACCTCACTAGTGAAAGAAATCCACCGAAATCGGAAGAAATTGACAAATTCATCTAATGCAAAATAAATGATTATGTGGGGAACAAATAGAATCCTGACTTCATAACTAAAGTCAAAGCAACGGACACATATACCGATGTTTATCTTTCTCTTCAGAAGTATCAAGGAGTAAGAACTAATATCAAGATACTACGCACAGGAACATTCCGTATAGAATAGAGGTCTTAGTATGTCATAGAGCTACAGAGCGATTCACATACTGGTGACACCCAGGTGACATCTCCAACAATGTTAATTTACCGAATGAGAAATTCATTGTACACCAAAGTTCGAGAACAAAAAACATGACTCCATAAGTTCGAATGATAAAAAACTACTCACTCCACCCGGGGCAACTGCTAGTCTCAAGCCCGGAAAAAACGAAGTGGGTTGTGCTTTGGGTTGGCGAACCCATCCCTCAAAAATATTAACTCCCCAAAAAAGTGATAACAAGGAAAATTAATTCAAACCATACAAACACTGTTAGGGGAGTTAGGTCCTCATTTAGAAGAGTTATGACATTACGAGATGAAATTCGAGTTCCTTCGGAAGTCATAGGGTTCTACCTAATGATAGCAGAGCTATGGATATAATTCAGGAGCAACTAGAGAAAAAGTTAGGCAACCGTGAAAGTGATTGACGTTCTGAGGCAGGTTGGAATAATATCAAAAAGGCTGTGCAAACAGCGATGATATCTGCTAGCAAGGTAAAGCATAAGTCTAGGAAGAATCCGTGGATCTTAGTAGCATCCACCAAACTGATAGACGCACATAAACTCATCGCACCTGGCTCTGAGTGCGATGAGGGTCGGAGTCAGCTCAGGTGCGAGCTGATAAAAGGCCTACTCAATGATCGTGAGCAGTGGTGGGTAGCAAAAGCGAGAGATATGGATTTATTAATCATTTTCAATCCAGGAGATTATACTGTTAGGCAGTTGTACCGACTTATCAAGGAAACCGGTATTAGGAACCCAAATGTGAGTGAGACTATTTCGGAAAAGGATGGTCTTATTATCCATTCTCAATCCAGGAGACTGGGCCGATGGGCAGAACACTTTAGAGATCAGTTCAGCTGGCCTTCTGCCACACTTCCGTTGCCCACGATCATCCTGAATGGCAAGTCGAGGTAAGCCCTCCGAACCTTTATGAAGTTGAAAAGGAAATCTGAAGCGAGGGAGAGCAGCAGGACCCGATAGACTGACTCTTGAGTTATTTAAGGATGGTGGTCCAGTTTTAGCAGCTAGGTTGACTGAGAACTTAGGTAGAATCTGGGAACTGGACACAATCCCATCCGACTGGTCTCAATCACTGATTGTCCCAATTTATAAGAAAGGACAAAAGTCTTCTTGCGACAATCACAGGCGAATAAGTCTAACTAATATAGTTTCTAAATTGTAAGCCTCAATAATATTTTGACGCTTAACGAAAGTTAGTAAAGAGCAGACTAGAGAAAACCAGGCGGGTTTTCGACCTGGACGTGGTTGTATAGACCACATCTTCACACTACGACAGGTCCTGGAACACAGACACAAATCTAGGCGCCTAACAATAACTGTTTCCCTTGACCTAAAGGCGGCATTCGACTCTGTGGATCGTGAGGTTCTGTGGCAGTGTTTGTCATTGAAAGGTGGACCAAAGAAGTACATTAACCTTATACAAGGTCTCTTCTCGAACACTACAAGTCGAGTTAGAGCCTATGGAGAACTGTAATATGAATTAGTTACTCCAATTGGTATGCGTCAGGGATGTCCACTTTCTCCATTCTTGTTTCATTTTGTCATAGGCATGATGCTAAATCTAACATTATCTTCGTGCGATTTTTCACGAGTGGACCTTCTTTCAGATTATTTACCGGTTGACTTAGAATATGCCGATAACTTAGTTCTATTTGCTGAAGACGCTGAGAGAATGCAGTCCGGATGGCGTGGTGACTGACGAAATCTCAACACGGATACAGAAGGCTCATTTGGCTTTCGCTAACCTGCGTCGCTTATGGCGTGGGTGAGATATCCGTCTGCTAACCACAGGACGAGTCTACTCTACAGCTGTTCTCTCCGTCCTACTTCATGGCTTGGAAAGACTGCAACTAAAACTAGAGAATATTAGTAGGTTCCCTGTTCTCAATCATAGGTGTCTCGTGTACCATGGAACAACCAAATAAGCAATGCGGTTGTTAGGAAGCGAGTGCTAGGTAAAGATGGCAGATCAATAGATGTAGCATTGAAAATTTATCGGTGGAGGTGGTTAGGACATGTGTTACGTATGCCTAACTATCTACTACCTTGTCGAGCTTTTTTCTGATATAGGAACAGGGTGGATGAAAGCTAGGGGCGGCCGAACCAAAACATGGCAGAAGACCATGAGTTCGCTAACAGTCGGACTGAGTCATGTTGGTAGGTGTTGACTACCTGGTTGGGGCCCGCGAGACGATCGATGGTTATAGACCTCAAATGACCTGGCTCAAAACCATTCTCACTAGTGCAGATGCATCTATTTCTTGTCTTCTTTCAAATCCTAATCCTCTGGATTCTCAACACCTCATCACCTTTATCTTTTTCTTTTAATTTTATTTCACTAGACTCTACTTTCGAATAATATCGTCGAACCCTAGTCTCTCCGATCACTGATAATACTTCTACTACCTCTACGACAACCGTATTTGAACTGACAATTGCATCTCTGTGCTAATGTGGTATGGCAACTTAAACTGATGTACGTACGTAGGAAGTTCTACACTGTAACTGACTGAGTGACCGGTAATCATATGGTAACCGTACTAAGAGACTGAGATTAACTGTTAAAAGAAAATCACCAGCATAAATCAACTTACTTGGTTATGATAAAGCACTTTCTGTCGTAGGTATAAAGTTTCAGAACTAGCTTAGAGTCTACTGAATACTTAAAAAGATTGTTATCAGCAGGCAGGTCTATCATGAGTAGTTTCTACATGGTGGACGGCGTTCAACTTGGGAGCCATAAAACATACAGCGGTCACGTCAAGTGACTTGACTAGTTACGTACCTCAAGTTAAGGAATCGGACCACAGGACTAACCAATATTTCCAGTATAACAATAAAAAAATTTCTAAAGAAGTGTACTTTATATGATACCGAAACAGTAAATATGAAAGCAACATTCAAATATATAGTAACTGAATGGTATTTCTTCTGACAGGAAAGGATATGCAGCACAATAATTCGTTGCAGGCTAATCCACTTCAAAAGGTTAAAAGGTAATAGTGAGAGACATTTGCTTGACACGTCTCAAATGAGGTTCTCAGAAAGTCAGAGGCAAAGTTCTACCTAAAACAGGATAAGGTCAGAATGATTACAAAGTCTGGTTTTGAGGCGACTGATTTGGATGGCAACAAGTAATCGAATGAGATCACTATTGCTCACCTAATCGTTCCACATTCTGGATAAATGTCAAAGAGTGATACTCGAGAACTGACATTATTCGGAAGAACGATAACTGAGCCAATGAATTAACATATGGCCGAGTATTCAAGGTTACATTTCATATATAGACTGGAATAAAGTACGGTTGTTCGCACTTGCCTTACCTCCTCTTTCTTGGTATTCACTTGATTTTACAGACATCGACATCTTAGGAAAGAAACGGAATTTAATCAACATCCTGGACCATGCTGGATGACTTGAACTTTGTGAATGATTAGCCTGCTTATCTTACACACAACGAAAAATTCAGAAGACATTCATTTTGAGAGCTTC